TGGGTGCTGAAGAGGAAAGTAGACTCCTCCCACTTGCAAGTTTCGGTTCAGCTCTAAGGATCCTTAAAGAGTTGTGGAATAGCCAGAAAGAAAACAAACATACATTCAGTTCGACCTGGTGCTTCCTGCTCTGACTGACCCTATTCCTGGAAACAGTGCCAAGCTTCCCCTTCTCCTCCTACCAAAAACAAAAGGCAGACCGGAAGTGCTCAACAACTTACCTACATCCTGAAATGAATGTGTACTAGAACTTTACTTTTGCTACTCAGTGTGCGTGGCTCTTTGTACTCTATCTTGCCTACATACTCTATCTTGCTACACTGAGTAGCAAAAGTATGGGGCCAAATTCAGCAGGAAGACGACCTGCTCTGCAAAGATGTGCTTCCATGGAGGCCATTTTATATTGCGAGCCTAGAGTTTGACAATGCAGGAGGCAAAGGAGAGTTAAAATGCATAGTCACGCCAGATAGTGATGTCTCTTTCACAAACTGGCCGGGAAATGACCAGGTAACCAAAGAACTGGCCGACCAGGTGAGGAAAGTCAGATGTCTGGCCTCTGGGACACCCAAGCAGTCGGCTAATTGGCTCCATTTTTCACTTTCAATTGATTGCTTCTGTATCATACAGACCAGGCCAGCTTCGATCTGGGCTTACATAGTGACAACTAATAAGGTGACCTAGGTCCAAAATGCAAGCAGGTAATGGCCACTGCTGAAGACGGGGGCCGGAGAGCTTAACCAACTCCGGGGGAGAAGCCGGGGCTGAAAGGCACAACATGACAAGAGAAAGCTCCTAGTGTTGGGAGCTTGCTCTACTGCCATCCCTAGGCGGGAAGCTGTAAATTAAAGAACGGCTGCCTTCTGCTGCACTGAGCCAAAGCAAATCCATCTCACAGATACACTTTAATTGGGGGTTTCACTCTAACTGAAGCAGACTCCACCTCAGCAGATGCTCCCCCACACTCCACTGCTGCCCACACGCACTTGGGGTTTGTTTTGCACATTGGAAAGCCCATGCAAAATACCTGCAGCTTGGCCTCCCAGAAACAGGATGGAATCTCCCAGTTTTCAAATGGTAACAGATGTAGTTTCGGCTCTAATACACATTAGACTCTTTCTCTCAAAAAAAAAAAAAATACCACCACCACCCCAGCTATCATAAATGTCACAGAATAACTGGAATCCTTCCCTTCAACAATGATCTGGAGCTGCAGTATTTCTAATGTCTGTTTATTTGCTTGTTTTTGTTTGCCTGGTTTTAGAAGTGAATAAATGGCGCGCTCCTTCCCAGCTCTATATATCGATAGTCTCCATCTTCATCCTATTTTTCACTCTCTTGTTTATAATGAGCAGGGTCATAATCATGTTTCTCATGAAAACGAAAGAAATCAAAACGCCTCGTGATTCCAGGAAAGGAGGTTCTTAGTAGACACGGCTGCCTGCTATTGATGTTGTAAAAAGGTTCCTTTCACATGGTATTAAGATGTAGAGAGCGCATCATATTGATCTAGAAATAAAAAGCTTGTTTTTTTTTAGTACAGCCAACTCTTACCTTCATAAGCACTTTATAACACCAAGAAGAGGGTTTTATTTTTAATTGAGGTAAACAAATTATACCTGAAGAACGTTGCTATTTTTAGAGAATGAAGGATTTGGAGCTTTTTTGGCAGCAATTCAGGTAAAATCATGAATAAGTCTCACTCTTTCAGATTTGGCCCAGGCCTCTCCCCATGTCAGCTCTGCCTGAATCCTGGGATAGAATTTTAAACTATTGCCTTTGTTTTCTCCTTGTTCTTCGCAGGAGCAGTTGGGAGCAGTTTCCATAGTCATTTGCCCATGCTCAGATGCTGAAAGGACAAACTGAAGATCAGCGAGGCCTAATGCATAGACTGCATAGTCAGTCTCCTTCCTTCCCCGAAAATGATGGTGGCTGAGATGGAACAAGTCCTGATGACATACTGCTGGGCAGGGCTTCCCACCGGACAACTGGGTGGTGACTGCCCCTTCCCCTAATGATGCCTGCCTTTTTTTGTTTCTGCACTTTATCTTAAAGTTCATTCTGTACCACTGGAGGAGGAAATCAATACTTCAAATCATCTGCTTTTCCCCGCTTGCCGTCCAATTCCTCTGCATTCAGGGTAGCTCGCTCCCCGGAACCACCCCGTGAACTAATCAACCGCCCCAGCAGCCCCAGATGCTTTATCAGAAATTCTTTACATTTTCTTAGCAACATGCATGGCCCTATCTAGAAGAAAGGCTCTGTTGGAGAGAGGCTTTTCCTAATCAAGTTAAACTAACTTTACCCAGGGAGACGCCAATGTTTTGCCTCTACAACGACCACTCTACAAGGTCCTCATCTTTCCATGACCTGCCCCACTACGAATCTGTCCCACACCCCTCAGTCCCTGCAGCCCACCACCTCGGGTTTCCAAGGAGTTCGCACGTGATTGCCTATCTTGAGAAATAGGGGCCCGGTCCTCCGCTTCCCTACGCTCTCCGACTCGTTTTTCCTATCTCCTTAAAAAACGCTGCGAAGCCTCCTCGTGTGGCTCTAGAGTGGTGAAGCCGTGTGCCTGGCGACACCCACCGGGTCTCCCTTCTCTCTCTCTTCCTCCCAAGGAATAGCAAACAGCCGAGTTTATGCTCCCCGCGGTGCTGGTCTGAGCCACTCTCCCGGAAACTTAGCCTAAAGCATTCAGGTCCAGGAATGGGAGGCGCGGCGCTGCCTAGGAATCCCCCACAGCCCTCAGGGATGGTGGCAGGTGTGTGCTTGTTCAAGCCTTAGGTCCGTGCCTCGGTCCTCAAAGGCGAGCTGAGGTTGGCTTCTGACTCATCGACAGGCACACGCGCGTCACACACACACACACACACACACACACACACACACACACACACACACACCAGGCGTGCGCACTGAGGCTCCTGGAGACTGGAGTTGGGCAAACCCGAGGGGTCCGTGCAACCCCGAGCTCTCTCGGGCAAGCGTGGAGAGAGCACCCCGAGCAAGCTTTGCGGGGCGCGGTGGCTAGGAGAAATGCCTCTGGAAGCTAGCAACCTGCAGCCAGGGCGCCCCCTTGATCCTATTCCGTGTCTCTCCAGGGTCCCCAACTCCATCGCCAGCGCGACCACCTCGGCAGCTCCAGCAAGTTTCGGCTAGCAGCCGGGCCTGCCTTCTCCCGCCGCCCTGCGCCCCGCGACGGGCCGGCTGATCTGGGGCCGGCGGGCTGGCGGGAGCTCGGGGCCCGCTCCGATGAGCGGTGAGGCGGAGGGAGCCTTCGGATCTCCCGAGCGGCTTATGTATTATTCACTCCCGCGGCCGCAGCGGGATCCGGAGAACCCACGCCGGGGAGGCGAGGTCGTCACCTGGTCACTACTACTTTAGCTATTTGTGTCTGGGAGACGTGGGGGGGTGAAGGGGGCAGCGGAGCACATTTTTCGGTTGTTTGGCTTTGGGGCTTTGGTTTTTTTTATTTTATTTATTTATTTATTTATTTTTTCCCTATCCGCGAGCTCGCCGGAGCGCGCTGAGATCTGGGCCCCAGAGGGAGCGCGCCAGCGCGGGCAAGCGCGGCGAGCAGCCCCGAAAGCGGCCAGAGGCCGGCGGGCCGGCTCAGGGAGAGAGACGCCGCAGCAGCCTGGAGAGTCGTGCCGGACCGAGCAGTCCCCTTCGGCACCCTCAGCCTCGCGGGCCCGCGCCCTCGGGTGCGCGCTCCACGGGGCCCAGGAACTCCCGGAGCCCTGGCCGGCCCACCGAGTTGGTGCCGCCTTCGTCGCTGCTCTTCCATCTCGCTTCTGGCCCCAACTTTCCCAAATCGTACACACACGCACGCGCGCACAGACACACACACACACACACCTCTCTCTCTCTCTCTCTCTCTCTCTCTCTCTCTCTCTCTCTCTCTCTCTCTCTCTCTCTCTCTCTCTCTCTCTCCCTCTCTCTCTCCCTCTCTCCCTCTCTCTCTCTCTCCCTTCTTCCCCCCTCCCTCTCTCTCTCTCTCCTCTCCCTGGACCCCAGCTCCACTTCCCCGTGTAGTTTGAAGATGACAGATGCCTGTAGACTTTCACCAAACAAGCAGTGGGGGCAGCAGACTACAACAGTTATTTAATTAAAAGGCATTTTTTCCTCTAATTCTCGCTCTGGCTGCTGGAATAGCTTTGGCACCCCCTCCCAGAGCCTGGACACAAGCCTGTGTTTCTCCAGGTAATCAGTGGCCGGCGGACACGAGTCTCCACGCCCCCACTCATTCTCCTCCAGCTTCCAGCCTCCCCCCCAGTCACACCGATCCACACACCTACAGGCCGGCAGCAGGGAGCGTGCAGGACACGATGCAGCCGGACTGCATTGCACAGTCATCAAAGTTAAGTGTGTTTGTGGGGTGCTCGTGCGCGCCCGGGGAGGTACGGGGTCGGCAGGAGTAGAGCCTCCACTCTGCTTACCACCACCACCATCACCCCCATCCCCGCGGGTCAGGGGACGCGTCTACTTGAGATTGCAGCCATTTTAGGGAAAGAGGAGGCTCCGGGCCCGAAGAGAGTGGAGGGAGGGACAACACGTCGCGGGGGGTCTTACAGCTAGGCAGCCCCGGGGCTCAACTGGAGGGCGGGCGGCAGGCGGGCGCACAGGGGCGCGGCGCCCGCGGCGACTTGGTGAAGGTTGCGCTCGAGTTCCCTGCTTTTGCCTGGAGTTGTTCGGGGTAACGCGCCAGCTCCTGCCTCTTTCTCGGGTTCCCGCTGGGCTGGGAGGTTTGGGGGTAGATAGGGGTCCAAGGCAGAATGGGCACCAGAGGGACGCGACAGCCCCTGGAGCTGGCGCTATGTGTGGGGGGTATGAAGAAAGAGGAACACCTCTGTCGCCGGTTGGCGCTGACCCAGACAGTGCGACCCACTTGGCCCCCCATCCTCCCCACCCCCTCCCGAGCCTCTGTCTACCCGCCTGGTGCCAAGTGAACGAGCAGTGGGGGGGTACGGGGAGATGCCGCCCGGCACTGAGCCACCCCTTACCTGGTTGGAAGGGGTTTCCCAGGAGGAGCCGTAGTTGTAAAAGAAGGAGGAGAGGAAGGTGTCTTCCGACAGCCCGCAGCCCGCCATGCTCTGGATGCAAATAAAACGAGGAAAGAAAAAAAAAGGACACACACACAAAAGCAACCAAAAATGTTTCCAAATCAAACGAAATCAATAAGGCAGCTGAAATTCTCTCGCAAATAAAGAAAAGGAGGGGGGAAGGGAATGGCCGAGGGGACGGGAACTCTCGGCGTTGCTCCCTCTCCGGCTGAGCAGGGATGCTCGGGCTGCCACCGTCGCCGCCGTTGCTGCCGCCTTCTCAAGACGGTACCTAGAGAGGTTCGTCCTGACTCCGGCAGCCGCCGCCGCCGCCGCCGCCGCCGCCTGTGCCGGCTGCGTGTATGCGCGCGTGTGTGTGTGTGTGTGCGCGTGTGCGTGTGTGCGGTGTGTGCGCGCCGAGCGAGAGACCGCAGGGGAGGCGAGAGGGCGAGAGAATGAGCGAGCCGGGATGCAGGGCGCAGAGGCAGAGCGGGCGGGCGGGCGTGTGCGCGCGCGAGGCTGGGTGCGTGCGTGCGTGTGTGAGTGTGTGAGTGTGTGTGTGTGCGCGCGCTCGCGTGTGCGCGCGCGCCTGGGTGTGCGTCTGTTTGGGGAGCTCACCGGAGAGCCGGGGCCATCACGTGGGCTCCCCGACTCCGCCGGCTGCCGGGGACAGCCTGTACTACAGCCCTGGCCACTAAATCAGCCCGCGCCACCAGACCTTTGCAGCCCCTGCCACCGGTCGGACCTCCAGGTTCTCCCCCTCCCGGCTGTGTGTGTCCCGGGACAGCAGGGGGCGCAGGTGCTGCCGTGGGCAGGTGGGTGGGTGAGGAGGGGGCCGCCCCAAGCCAATCCAGGAGAGAGGATGCCTCGGAGATACACAGCACCCCGTTACAACTCGAGCCTTCCTCGAGCCGCCTTCCTACTCTGCTGAAAGATCTTTTGCATTTTAATTCCTAAAATTGCCTTCCCATGCAGCGGCTCTTCTTCCAGCTACAAAAATACTGTGTTCACACAGTTGCTACGTCTCGATTTTCTTCCTGTCCGGTGCCACTAGACCTCCCCAACCCCGGCGGCGCATACACACAGACACAGACACACAGACAGACACACACAAACACACACACACACACACATACACACACGCTGGTGACTGCCTTCTCAACCATTCCAAATGCAAACCCACTTATTTCTCCGGTTGCTGTAGTAGGCGAAGTAAATGTTACATCAAACTAAGCTAGGCTGAGAGGACTGGAAAGTGGATTTAGGGAACAATACTGCCCCAGCAGGAAGAAAGGCTCTGGTCTGGTGTTGTGTTCATTTAACAGTTCAAAACGAAAAACAATTTTGTAGCTTCTGCACTAAGAGTCAGGCCCCTCGAGTCACAATTCTGTAAAGAAAGATATCCTCTTAAGTCCATTATATGTAATAAAATGTAAATGGATATAATTTCCTCCCCTCCCCTAGCCAAGGTATTTCAAGACCAAACCTTTGTGTCTCAATAATTGCGCAGCTGAACGTTTTTTCCCCACTGCAAGATATTATTTCCTTACTTCTCCTGACTCTTTGTATAGATATTTATAGAAAGTAAAATTCCAATAAAAAATAGGCATATCTGTGTTCTTCTGAGTACTTGATTCCTCCTAGGGAAACTTGCAAACCTCTTAGCAGTCCATATTGTTTTCTTTCTGATTCTCCTCTTTCCGAAACCAATTTTGTTTTTTCCGAGAGTTCCCACTTCCTCTTCTAAATTCCCCACGTGAGGTCCAACTCCTCTGTGGGAATAAACATTTCCACAGCAACCCCAGTGATGTCACAAACCTTGGACTCATGATTGCAGAAAGGAAATCAACCCAAGAAGAGAGGATCGCTCCAGAAAGACAACTCCCTTTTTTCTTGCAAACAGAATGATTCTCTAGTTTCTGGGTTTATACTGGTTAAATGCCTGTTTTCTTTCTCTCTCCTTCTCCTTCTCCTCCACTTCCTCCTCCTCCTCCTCCTCCTCCTCCTCCTCCTCCTCCTTCTTCTTTGATATTTTCCTATTATGAGATTGACTTTCTATGTCTAATGGCCTTTTAAAAAATAGGTCAACATCATGTCTCCTGGATCCATGAAGAATGACATTTCAAATCACTGGTCCTTAGATGTACTGAGCATTTAGATTTTTAATAAGGAGGAAAAGGATTGTTCTTCAAAAACAAACAAACAAAAAGAGATGCTGAAAAGAACATTAAAAGATGAGATTTAACTTCAGAACCAAGTAATGCTGACTGAACTTCAAAATGCAGTTATATTTTTTAAGTTATTAGACCCATGGGCATTCTATTCGGTTATCCATGACTGATATCATCCGTGTTAATAGAGGGCTTTCTCCTCCGCTGGTCCTTCTCTTGTTCTCTGGGTATTCTGGGTGAGATGAAGAAGGGACCCTTCATCCTGCCCCCATTTCAATCTCTATGATGAGGAGTCACCATACACACATTAAATACAAAGGGACTAGAGAATATAGTCAGGCACAAAGACCCTACTTCCTATTCCTTTGCCAGGCAAATGGGAGCTAGCTACTTCAGTGTCTGTTACCAGACCCCTGCTCCTTCTCACAGATGGAGAAATGGATTCAGAGATGTCATGCAACTAGTATATGAGAGGAATTAAATGCAAGTCTTGTCACCTCACGTGTCTCCCCCCTCTCAGGTACAGCTGAGTGCATCACTGACCTGGCTATTTCACAATGTACAGTCACAAAAGGAGACTGTAATCCCAGTCTTGTCATTGCCTCCAGTTGATGACAAATGGACATTTGTCCTGGGCCCTGTTAGATGGCTGGGGGGGGGGGGGGTGCTTGGTTTTGGCTTGTTAATGCAGAACCTTAGTCTGTATCACCAAGGGGACCTGGAACTCACTATGTAGACTGGGAAACTCACAGCAATCCTCCTGCCTCAGGCCCGAGTACTGCAATTACGTATGTGTTCACCATATCTGGATTTTAATTTAATTTTGCTGTTTTGGTTTTTTTATTTCTTTTTGTTTTTTGGTTTGTTTTGTTTGTTTTTGGCTTTTCAAGACAGGGTTTCTCTGTGGCTTTGGAGGCTGTCCTGGAATTCGCTCTTGTAGACCAGGCTGGTCTCGAACTCACAGAGATCTGTCTGCCTCTGCCTCCCAAGTACTGGGATTAAAGGCATGCGCCACCACCATCTGGCTAGATGAGTAAGATGAGTCTCAGTAGGAAACTGTTGCCTTCTGCTCCTACCTATACAACTGGGTCTTGAAAAAAAACTTTGGCTCAATACTTCTCTTTCTCTGAAAGTTGGTCTCTCCCATTGCTAAGCACACAGGGAAACACATGCATGGATCCACCAAACAGGCCCAGGGGCTGCAGCAGCATCCAGACAGAAGCAGGGAGGCACCAGTGACAAGAACATCCTTGGCACACATGGGGGAACATCTAAACACATGAAGTTTGGTCTCTAGCCATCAACCTTTGGCACCTCTCAAATCTCTAACATTGGATTTTTAATAGGGACACCCAAAAGAAGGCCACCAGAGTCAGTTTCTGATAAACTACCTCCATTCTCCATCTCATATGGCCCTCTCCCAGGGCAGCCCTGCCACCCCGAAAGAATTCCGCCTTCCTCGGTAGGTTTGCTCAACTGGCACAAGCACAGTAATGTGGAGGTTTGGTTGCTAGTTCTCAGCAACATGAAAACAAACCATCCCCCCCCTCCAGCCCCCAGGGACCAGAACAGATGGAGCCAGGCCCCTTGGGAAGCCCTGGGAGCAGCAAGCTCATTGAGAAACGATAGCTCCAGTCACCTTGCCAGCTCCTCACTGTGCAGGAGACAGACATCTGAAGATGGAAACCCACAACAACAAGCGTCTGATTTCCAGACTCACGGTGGCTGCTTCTCCCAAGACAAACCAGTCTTCTTCGGTGTGCCAAGTCACGACTTGTCACGCTGACAAATGCATGACGTATTGACTTGCTGTGGTCCCGCTAATGAACCATCTACGTTTATTCACAAACGCTTTGCCCCTCAGACGTAAGTTTAGCAATAATCTCACTTCGGAAATTGGTTAATAGTCCAGATAATGTCTGGGTGGTTTCCTTGTTTATAAATGAGTTGCATTAGCGCTCTCATACCACTAGGGTGTCATTTAGTGACTGGCTGCTGTGCTCTGCAAATGCGAGAGGCCAAATTCTTATGGATATGGGTATAAAAGTGGGGGGGATAACTTCTGGCTAAAACTGCAGATGGGAAGCAGATGTAGTGCACAGAGGAAGTGGGTTCCATTCAGTCCCCATCCTTTATTATAATCAAGTCTGCTGAGTTGTACTCCTCCCCTCTTCCTCCTCCTCCTCCTTCTCCTCCCTCCTCCCTCCTCTTCCCCCTCTTCCTCTCCCCTCCTCCTCCTGCTCTTCCTGCTCCTGCTCCTGCTCCTCCTCCTCCTCCTCCTCCCTCCTCTTCCCCCTCTTCCTCCCTCCTCTTCCCCCTCTTCCTCCCCCACCTCCTCCTCCTCCTCCTCCTCCTCCTGCTCCTGCTCCTCCTCCTCCTCCTCCTCCTTCTCCTCCTCCTCCTCCTCCTCTTCTTCTTCTTCTTCTTCTTCCTCTTCCTCTTCCTCTTCCTCTTCCTCTTCTTCTTCTTCTTCTTCTTCTTCTTCTTCTTCTTCTTCTTCTTCTTCTTCTTCTTCTTCTTCTTCGCCCTTTAAGGCAACCAGAAAACAGCTATAAGTGGCACAGCTAAGTCTGAACCAAATAGTTCTAGCTTGCTATGGCAACTCCTGACAAAATTAAAACCAATATTTTATCCTTATCTCCAAGAAGTTTAGAGTGTCAACAAAAGTCTGGACTACTGTTTGCTTTTGCTTGTTTGGGGGGTGTTCGTTGCCAATGTTTGTTTCTAATGTTTTAAAAACTGTGATCTCATCAAAATTGTAATACCCTGGAGAAAGATTCAAACTAAGACATAGTAAGGTGTGGAAGAGGGACAGGACAGAAGGATGGGTGTAACAAAGGAGAAAGCTACTCTTCATGAGGCACAGGACAAAGGAAACAGCACTTAACACCAAGAGAAAGTAAGGCCGAAATAAACTCAAAAGCACCTTGGCAGTAATCATAGCATTTATTAAATTCTTGTGGTGTGTGCTATGGCAAACAGATACCAAGTAAACTACCCAGCTTGTCCAGGTACAATTATTTTTCACTCTGTCTGGAGTACAATCCCACAGTGAGGCATTAAGATGGTGGAAAGTGTTTGTGGTGTTTAAGGGTAATAAGGTTGGGAGACCAGGATTAGTCAAAGCCACCTCCATTGAGTACTGGAGACTACAAGAAGAGGAGGAGAGACCAGGAGAAATACACTGTCACGGGTTCCCTGTCTCTCATGAAACCTGTCCACCTTGGATCTCCAGAACCACAAGCCAAAACAAGCCTTTTCGTTAAAACATACCCATTGTGTTATTAGCCACAGAAAAACACACTGGTATAATATAGAAGGCATGCTGGGCTTCCTAAGAGAAAGACAGAGATGATGCTGATCATTTAGAGAAGTAAAGGAAACAGAAGCTATACAGTATACTTCCAGGCCAGGAGGCTTCAGTCCCATTTGGACCCACTAGGGGCAGTGTGGTATGTGTCTCATTGGTATCCTATTCTAAGGGTAAGGTGCCTTGGGGTACTAATGCCCCGTTCCCTGGTAGAAAGCTACTACCAGGTGTTGCTATTTCCCTGGCACATCTTGTGGCCAGGACAGTGGTGGGGTCTGGCAGTGGTGAGGAGGTCCTCAGCCCATCAGCTACAGGTGCTAGTTTTGAGGACATGTGAAGGGCTGTGAGGATATGGTTGGTGTAACCACAACATCTGGTCCAAGCATCAAGTTATGTTTTCTTAGACAAGCCTGATGAAGTGGGAAGGGTTACATCTCCAGTTTTCCCAGAAGGATGTAATAGAACAGTGTAGAATAGGTTTACTGTTTCTACTCAGCTAGCACTGGGTCCCTGCTCTCCCAGAACCACTTCCCTTCAGTCTCCATCATCAGCCCTCATTACCTCCTTTCATGGGTATGCTAGGAACCCAATCCAAGCCCACAAACCTCTGCCTTGGATTTTGCAGAGACCACTGGAAAAGGATACTCTTCTTCTGACAAGAGAACAGAAGGATCCTGGAGCTCCTCTAGGCTGTATTACTTACTCTCATGAGAAGAACTGATATCTGCCAGAGTTTAAGGCAATTGGTCCAGCCCAACCCGAGGCTGGACACTCCCCTGGACCTTCCAGGTGCATAAGTAAAACAAACAAACAGGCAAACAAAAACAAAAAACAACTTTTCTAAGCTGACTTAAGTCTAAGCCATAGAATTAAGCATTTCAGCCAACATCACGTATCTAGAGAGTGTGGTGCAATGCTCAAACCCGCATCATCTAACTTCTGTGTTGACCAGAATCCATGTTCTTAACCACCAAGTCTATGGTGGCGATTTGCATACATGATAGCTCAGAGCCACATCACACTTTCTGTGGACTGTCCCTCACTTGGAGCCTCTTCCTTCTCAAAAGTAATTACATCTTAGCGTTATCTGAACTGTTCCTTCTATCAGTCATCAAACTTGTACTGAATCTTAATCCCCTGGAGGAGGGCGAGTGTATAGGCTTAAACATATGGAACTAAGTAAGACCTTTGGTTCTTGTCAAGGGATATTTATGGATGCTTTGTGTATTAGTTAGGACCCTTGGCTACAAGTGATTTAAAAAAACACAATGTTACAGCAATAAATATGCAAGTAAATAAAGAGCAAAGTTGGCTCACCTAACTGAAGAAACTAGGGACTGTGCTGTTCCCAGATGAGACTGGTGTATACACATTTCAACTTATGTTGACAACACAATCTCTCAGCTTTTTTGTATGCTTGTTTTACCTTTGACAGGCAAGCATCAACAATACCTGGTTTACCTCCTCTTTCCCATCAGTGGTCCCCAATAGTACCTTTCTCCTCTCTCCCTCCCTCCCCTCCTCTTTCCCCTCCTCTCTCCCTCCTTACTCATTCAGGCACAAATCCTGAACTTTCAAGTGTCTTTCATTGATATACACCTACACAGTCTCAGATTGGCCAGGCTGAGTCCCATGTGGCTCTATAACTGGATTCACCAAATCAAATGACTGAGCCTGGAGAAGAGGTGGGATTCCCCAGAGGAAAACTAGGACAAACATGCTCATCTCAATCCATAAGAAGAATAGATACTAAACAGGCAAACATGGCAGCGACTAGAGCTACTGAGAGAGCTCACAGGAGCAAGTAAGATGGCTCAGCAGATAGATATCTTTATGACCAAGCCCAATGATGTGAGTTCCATCCTGAGAACCCACATTCAAAACCCAGGCATGGCAACATGTCCCTGTAATCTTAGCACTAGGGAGGTAAAGATAGGAAGACCCCTACAGCTTAATGGTCAACCAGCCTATACACATGTGCACCCTTACACACAAATGGCAGCTATCCACGGGACACCCATTATTCATCTACACAGTAGTTGAGATTACCACAGACACACGACCCCTTTCCTGACTTTAAGAAGCTCAGACTATGTTTAGAGAAAAGTATCGCTTCATGTGCAAACAAAAGAATTGTGTAATAATAAAGAATGAAGCTACGACTTGGGTATAAATTGCAGGTTCTTATTAGTAGGCAACAGATTCACTTTGAATACATTAAGCAGAAAGCCTTGGAGAAGCTGTGCAATCTCTGAAAGGACTAGATAAATGAGTGATGCAAATAGGAACAAAGCTTCAAGAGACAAAAACTGTGTGACACAGGATTGGATGCCAGCACCTCTGCCATCCTCTGCCCTAGAAGGGAAGGAATCCTGACGAGTTTGTCGGCCAGAAGGTTAGATCTTTCTGAACTTAGCAGCCTATGTCTTCTGCCTATGTCTCTAAAGACAGTAGGTTTTCTTGGGGGTACCTTGATGTTGTAGTTGGCTTTGACTCTCAACTTGGCACATCTTAGAATCACCTATTTGACACATCCCTGAGAAAGGAGTTTCAATTGAAGGACTACCCAGATATTGCTAGCCTGTGTCTGTGTATGTGGCTGTGTCTGTATCTGTGGGGAATTGCCTTGATGTAGGAAGGTCTTGCTCCCTGGACAGCTAGTCTTGAGTTATGTAAGAAGGCTAATTAAACATGGGCCTATGAGCCAGCCAGCTAGCAACTAGCATCCAGCTAGCAACCAGCATCATACATGGCTCCTCCTGTACCTTAGTTGTGAGTGAATTCCCTCCGTGGAAATACTGCTGGATGGCTTGATGAGCTGTCCTACCTGATGAGCTGTCCTACCTTCAGGTTCCAGCCTTGACTTCCTTCAGTGATGGTCTGTGATTTGAGAGTATAAGATTAAATAAATCCTTTCCTCCCATAAACTGCTTTTGATAGTGGCATTTCACAGCAACAGAATGCAACTAAAATACTGGCTCACATGATCTAACCTGCAAAGGCATCTGGGAAGTGGAATGTTAGCTTTCTGGCCTCTATGCTCCTTGGGGTTAATTGGGAGAGTGCTGGAGTGGAGAGGAGTATATTAATTTGCAGTATTTATTGTAGAGCAGGCTGCCGGCATCCACGGATAAGAAGACGATGGTGGGGCCTAACATCCAATCCTCTGTCACAATGATACCCTGACTTTCATGCCAACATTTGCTATGTGAGAGGACCTAAATGACAGAGGCATGAAACGGCCATAGAAGCCACCCTGGGCCAAACCTAGAAGCCACAGAGGCCATATGAAGAGAACTAACAACAGAAGTGTGGACCGTGTTGTAGGAAAGTCTTAGCACTGCCTCCTCAATACCTATATCCCAGGTACCCCCCAACTACTCAGCCACGTAAAACAGGCCCCCTTTCCCTCCCACCCTGGACTTACAAGGGTAGCAAGTCTTTCCCATACAATGCTTGCTTCTGTCATGCATTCTTTACCATGCAAAGAGAACCATCTTGCTCAGGCACACATGGAGTCACAGATTCCCTTTGAAACCTTTCATTGATC